TAATGTGAACAAGCAAAGAGGCTTTGTTGACAGTTTCTCTGAGAAGTAACTTGGCAGCCTTGGGAAGGACAATCACCTGGCTATCAATGAACATTCTGAAAAAGCATTAAAAATAATAAATAACTCATCATGCTTGTTCTGACAAGGATTTAACAAGGCTCAGCAGAGTATACCTCTAATAAGAGTACCCAGCTTCATAATTCACTGCAGGAGGCAGCACTGATCTGTACTTCACTAACACTCCCAGATTTTCAATAATATTGTGCTTACAGTAAATACTTATCATACACAGGATATACGTCAATGCACATTTATTATTATTATCAATATTATTACTTTTAATTGAAGTATGTTGTCCACAGCTGCCAGTCCCGTGATCTTTCCAAAATCTGAACTAGGAAATGGAATGACATTGGCTTCAACAAGAAAAAAAATAGCTTTTTAGGTTCCCATTAAAGTGTATCTAAAGACAATTTCTGTGCTGTTTGTGTCCCCACAAAGAGGATTCATCCCCTCTATCTGTCTTGTTGTCTGTTATCACAGGGACTTAAAATGAGAGAAAACCCCAAATTTGGAGTTGTCACTGGATAATGAATGGGTGGCAAATTTTACAATGGGGACATCTGTGCTGGTGACAGCTGTTTAAGAGAGGATTTCCATTATTTTGGATAGATCTACATTCATTAATTGTTATGTCTCAAAGCAGGAGATGAAAGGAAATCCCTAATAGGCATCATACAAAAAAAACCTGAAAGGGATTAAAAAAATTCCCTACTCTATCCGTAAAAAAAAGTTTTGGCTTTATATATACTAAGCAATAATACAGTGTTCTGTTTGTCTAGGTGGTCTGGCTGCTGAAATAGTGTGGTTGAGTACGTCTCCCCCATCACTGTTTGACCACGTTGCTTTCAAGGAGGTGAATACCTAATGATTTTGGATTGAAATTGAAATCACTTGTCATGACACCAGGTTCTTGCCCGAGACAAGCGATACCACTATGCATACAAGGGGAAGGGACATGTCAGCCAGACTGCCAGGATAGAGGCCTTCTCCTAGCAGAGGCAGTGAACAAATGTGTAGTTCTGTCTGTGTGCTGAGTGCATCTGTTCACTCAGTCACACATCAGAATGTTGGCTCTCCAGATTCTCTTTTTCACACTTTTCCACATTCTCTGATCCTGTGAGTATAGTGCTGTCAAATGTACAAAATTACTCACACAAGTGCTGCATATCCAGGGATCATACATCGGTATCCTCTGGGTTCTCTCTCTCATTGTTCATTGGGGTGTTTAATACATTTTGATGTGTGACTTGCTTTTGACAGTGAAATGATTATGGTGTTTGCTCCTGACAGAGTCTAGCGCAGATGATGTATTTTGGCTTGCGTGTTTCTGTTCACTCTGCCGCACTGGACCCAAGGTGCAGAGAGGGATGAGAGCAAACAGGACTGCACACAAATTGGGCTGCTGGTAGGGGAAGAACTGACAGACAGCGATGGGAGAGAAAGAGAATGGATTTAGGGCCAGTTCACACCATAAAGAGTGCGTTCCAGAGCATTCGGCTTATGGAACACAACCTGGCCGGCTCATTTTGTTTTGGGATGGGAGAGGGCGTGGCGGTGCATTAAAGTCCGTGGCACCGCAGCCACGGCCCCCGCCTGCAGTGCGATCACTGACACCCGAACGTGTGACACATTAGTACCTGCATTCCGGTCCAGTGCAATCTGCAAAAATAGTGCATGCAGCATTTTTGCAGTTCGCACTGGATTGGAACGTAGGCACTAATGTGCCACGCGTTCGGGTGCCGGTGATCGCACTGCAGACGTGGGGGTGTGGCTGCGGTTCCATTGGCTTCAATGCACTGCCATGCCCCCTCCCGCCCCAAAACAAAGTGAGCCCGCTGGGTTGCATTCCAGTGCGCTCCAGAGGTCGAACCCTCTGGAACACACTCTTTATGGTGTGAACTGGCCCTTACTTTAGAATCTTACAGTGTTTCTTCACATAACCAAAGGTAAGTACTTCCATATTGATTTATTTATTAGCGGTATTTATATACTATATTTACACAGCGCATTACATAGTGTCACATTCACATCAGTCCCTGCCCTCGAGGGCACAGAATGCTATATACAGTGTAAGCTGCAGCAAAAGGGGGCCCATGAAGTGAAAAAAGAGGAGCTGGAGGTGTCGTATAAAGGAAGATTCAGTCAACTTGTCAGAGAAACTGTCCAGTTGATTATGGGGTTACTGTTGACAAGGGAACTCATCATCTTGACTGGTTACAGAAAGTGTGGTTCGCATAATCCTCTGGTTGTATGAGCTGCATTCTGTTCTGCATTATTGTTTACTATTAACCATGCCTTACTGTTTGAAGCGTACCTGGACAGAATTGGATTGTGACCCTTTTGGCATGGATAATAGTCAATTTAAAGGAACCTTTGTGTAGCTTATTACTCCGGAGCTTTTTTCCCTGCATAACCACCCGCTACATGTAGGCCTAGCCTAGACACTGTGATAGCCACCACGTTTACCAGTCTAAGGTCAGATATTAAAATATGATTATATGTTTGTGCTTTCCTTATTACATCACATGCCTTCTGTTTTCCTTATATTTTGTCTTGTTTTATTGTTTAGAACCTTGCGATATTTATTAATGTATCTTTTGTTTTGCCAGCAGGGTTCTGTTCATACATTATGTTCATGAACGCTTCATAAAGCCCTATCAGGGAACTTGGGCACCCTGTGAAGACAATACACTCCATTAAACCCTTATACCCTAGCTATTGAGCCATTAAATAAAAGAAAGTCAATTCACCTAAGATAAAGATAGTAACTATCCCTAAAGTTCAATACCGCAAAGCACAAAATGAGTATTAATAGGGCGATAAAGCTTTGCGAGTGCTCAGCATTCCAATGCAAAGTGTGAAACCTCTGCCACTTGAACCTAGCTTACATAAGTCATAAACGTATACACTCAGCGTAACTGTCTGCCCACGTCAAACCATTGCTCTGTCCATTAGAAAACTTAGCAAATACACCAACCCATACTTGCTGATATCACAGACATGAGTCATCTGACACTGCTTTACAAACTCTCATCTCTTTAATGTATCATTATTTTTTAAAACATCCTTTGTTTGCATTTTTGGGGGTCAGGAGCGAATTTAAGACCAAGATAATTACAAATGCTGTTATCGCTGAGAAGACCTGTAAAAAAAAGTTAAACTGTGGCAGAGAAAGAACAGGTTTTTCTCCCCTGCCAGGCAGGACTGTGCTGTATGGCAGAGTTGTGCAAATTTAAGGACTGGATGGACAGAAATACAAATCTTTTGGCAGGTGAAACAGCCCTCATATACAGTATGTGTATTTAGCCATTTGTCTGGCATTCAGCATTCAGTTTAGGTTTAAGGCAACAAAGTGAGAACCTGGCATTTATAGCGAATCTGAACAAATAACTTGTTAGTTAGAACATAGCATCCTTTCTTCTTAGGTATTTATGATTACATACTCATGGCCGATTAAATGTTGATATATATATATATATATATATATATATATAAATATGTACAGTCATGGCCAAAAATATTGCCACCCCTACATTTCTGTCAGATACTGCACCACTTCGCTCAGAAAATTGCTGCAATTACAAATGTTTCAGCATTCTCATGTTAATTTCTTTTGTTTGTATTGGTATGACACAAAAAAGTTGAGAAAAAAAAGCCAAATCTGACACATTCCACGCAAAACTCCAAAAATGGACTGGACAAAATTATTGGCACCTTCTCCAAATTGCAAGAAATAATTGCATTCCAAGTTTGCGATGCTCCTGTAATTTTGTAATTAAACTCAACTGTACCAATTAACAGGTGCTGACAATATAGAAATCACACCGGCAACCAGTAAGAATGGTGAGAAATTGACTCAACCTTTCTGTTGTGTGTCTTGTGTGCATGGAGAAGAGAAAGAACAGCAAATAATTGTTTGAGGATTTGAGAACAACAAATTGTGGAAAAGCTCCCCCTATCCCTCCACCGTCTCTAACTGAACTTTGACTGACTGACATAAAAAAACCCTGCAAAATGACCTTCTTAGGCACCTAAATTCATGCTCTCGTGACGCTCCAGTCCCAAACCTTCTTTCTTCTTTTGTTTACTGGGGGCAGTGTCCTTCTCTGGGTGTCTGTGTTACTGTCTGAGGGATGTAGACATTTCCTATTGGATGACCAAAAGAGGAGCCTGCAGCCATGACACCAGCGCAAGGTGAGTGCCAGGGACTGACCTGCGTCAGCACATGTGCACCACTGGATTAGCGATCCCCTGCAACTGGAAATGGTGCCGTCAAGTAACCCAGACAGCAGAGTTAAGGTGCCCATACACCTTACGATTATCGGACGATGATCGTATGCGATCGACTTTTCGTCCAATAATCGTATGTGTGCATTGCAGTGTCCGACCGACAATACTGTACAATCGTACGACTTTTGACGGTCAAGCATGTTTGAAAACTTTGCTAGATCGTACGATTGTCGTAAGGTTGCTGGCGTTTCCGTACGTCAAAAGTCGTACAATGTACACTGCGCTTGCGCTAACGAAAATACGGCAAATCAATTACCGCATTTCGTCCAGGTGCTTTTGGTTCATTACGGCTAAATGATTCTTGCGATCATCGGGGCAGGATGGGGCTGCCGTACGAAAATCGTACGATTATTTCGATCATCGGACGAAAAGTTTCGTCCGATAATCGTAAGGTATATGGGCACCTTTAGGTGAGTATATCTTGAGTTACAAGGTGAGAAGATTTTTGCCTGGAAAGATTTAAGGTTTTGGGCTAGCTTAAGATTGAGGGTCAGGGTTGTATTTAGGGGTTACTTTAAGGCTTATATGCAATGTTGTAATAATAATAATACTCTGACACCATCTGCCCCCCTTAGTCATACTTTAACCAGACCTTTTTTGTTTGAAAATACAGAAATGAAAAATAATAATGCATTAGTATATCTTACCTGAGTTCCTAAACAGGCCACCATCATATGTGTTAGGAGCTTAGCTGCAAACATGGAGGACCTAGTACAGAATAACTGGGAGAGGATGGCTAAAGTAAACCCTGCCAAGAAAAATAAAACATAAATAAGTCCTGGCATTTAATACATTAGCAGTCATGGTAGTACATGTTACATATAGACTGATGACACCATTAGGCACAATCTATAAAAGACGGGGCAGTTTGTTCATTAACATTTTGAATTTCTATTTCTCCTTTCACGGTGACTTCCATTACAGAGCCTTAATAAAGAATGTAATACTAGCATTTCAGCATCACTTGTAATGAAAGGGCTGTGTAGCGCCTAAAGCAGAACTCCAGGCAGGGGTAGGCAACCTTGGCACACCAGTTGTGGCAAAACTACAAAGTCCCATTATACCTCTGCCTCTGGGAGTCATGTCTGTGGTCATCAGTCTTGCAATGCCTCATGGGACTTGTAATTCAACAACAGTTGGAATGCCGATGTTGCCTACCCCTGCAATAAGATCTTGTTCTGGTAGTAGAAAAATGCCCTTTTCCCTTTCTGTTGAAACAAAGCTCTTTGCAGAGCAATGGTATTTTGGAATTGATCTTCACCAACTGAATAATTGCTTTCCTACAGTGAGAAAAAAAATGGAGCTTAGTAAGTAGGTGCTTGCTATTACTTACAGCACTTGATATAGAAGACATTGGGGGTGGGGGTGATTTATCAAAACTGGAGCAGACAAAATCTGGAGCAGATTTGTACTGCAACAAATCAGCTTCTCTGTCTCATTTTCAAATCTTACCTGAGAAAGCTGAAGAGAGATGCTGATTGGTTGCCATGGGCAACTGCTCCAGATTCTGTCTGCTCCAGTTTTGATAAATTCCCCACACTGTTAAGGAGCATTATGCCCACTGTAAAAAAGTGTGCTGCTATATTTTTTCTGTTCATCACCTATTTGTATCATTAAGAGGCTTTCATTATTTGCAGCAACAGCATTAAAAAAATACTTAAAAAGTGACTGTTGTTTATATAAAATAATTAGGTTTCAGCTGCCTGCTAATCTAAAGCAGGTTAGAAAATAAAAGAATGATTGCTCTACAAGTTTGATGTGTTGGAATACTAAGTCGGTACAGGCATTATACAGGCATTAAGTGGTTAAGGTGACTTTCACCATTCTCTGGTGATCAGTGATCAATCACTGTCATTTAAAACACACGCATTAAGGTGCCATACACTTTTAAGGTGCCATACATACATTTTGGCCGGTTTTTAATGTACCGGCCGAAATTAGCAGTGTGTGGGGCTGTTGGCTCCTTTTCAGCCGGCATTCCTCGATCAGCTGATCGAAGGAGCCTGCTGGAAAATCTTCGTACGATCAGAGCCAGCAGCCAATGAGTTGCCCGCTCTGATTGGGCATTCTGACAGGTGTTGGTATTTTTTTTCCGTTCAGCCCACGTTGAACAAAAAAAAAATGATAGGTGTATGGCCAGCCTTAGGAAGATCCAGGTTATTGTGCAAATGACATGTTATAGTGCATTTACCACACACTGACGAACTACGCGCCTAGCGTGAGGTACCTTGCAATAAGTGCTTTGCATGGCCGTTCATTTTGAACATATGGCTGCTAGGAGGTGCATTGGGGCTCTATTCAAAAGAAGGGCAACACACCTAGCGCACTGTACCACCACAGCAGTAGTGTTGTGTAATAACATGCACTAAATGCATGGTAACATGCCATTAGCGCAACTCTACAGTGTGAATGGGCCAGATTAACAGCTTTACATGCCCATATAGTGGCCACACATTGCAGTTCAAGTTCGAGTAGTTCAAGTAGAGTACAAACTGGGCACAGGCCTAGAATCCTCTGCTTCTACTTCCAATGCCTACATAGACTAAAGAAGTTCAGCATTCCCAATTTATAATGGCGACAAATATATAATATGTCAGGATTTATATATCAATGTCAAAAGGTTAAACATATTTTACAGTTAAGCAGTAGCAGGGGAATTCAACATCGCATTTGTGCCAGAGTTCTGGTGCTAATGCAGGATAAGAAATATCTGCGTCACATTCTAAAACAAGCTGCGCCATTTTCCAGACCTCTACCGACTACTGTGCCAAATTCAAGTAGTTTCTATTTGTGCCATATTTCATTCTGGTTCTGTGCTTGTTACATATTCAATAAATAACCACAAATAGTTCAGTTATAAGAAAAGTGATGCAAAAAAGTACTTTTTGGCATAACTAATCTGTCTCACGGTCCTACTGTATATGTCTGTCGCAGTACATGACACATACCTCAGGTGCGACATTCCTTGAAACTGAGGATCCATCTGAAATCTGTCCCAGACACATACCGTGTTTCCCCGAAAATAAGACACTGTCTTTTTTTTTTTTGAGGCTCAGAAAACACCTCTAGGTCTTATTTTCGGGGTAGGTTTTTTATTTTAATGCACAACAGTCCACACTTATTCCTGTGCAACAGTCTACATGTATTCATGTACAAAAATATGGTGATCAGGGGTGCCGTACCATTCCAAGAGCAATTTGCTAACCAATCGCTGGCCAGAATGAGCGAAGCGCACTTTCACTATCGATTCCTCACAGGCGGAGTGCATTTGTCATCACTCCGCCTGTGACAGGAGCCGGCGCTATAGCGGAAGCATCAGCTTATGCGGCTCTGCTCCCTCCGCTGCCGCCTCGCTTCCTCTAACGCTGGCTTCATTGGCACCGCTGATTCTCTCCCACGGATCTTCAAGTTCCCCCTGTATGCCACCACCGGCCTTGGGATTGATCACAACTAGGTCTTATTTTCGGGGTAGGTCTTATATTTTAGCAATTCTCAAAAATAGTACTAGGTCTTATTTTCAGGGTAGGGCTTATTTTCGGGGAAACAGGGTATGTGACACTTTGGATAGAGAAATGTGACTATGTACTTTATCAGTGTGCATGTATCTGTCCCAAAGTTTGTCTTGCAAGCCAGTGCCAGGTTCATAGTTTTGCGCCAAATTCATGAATGCTAAGCAGCCTTGTACATGAATTTGGCGCAGATAACAACACTATTCCTGTAACAATGAGACACATTTATTCTTGTCTCCCCTGTATATGTCTTAAATAAAAAACCACTAACCAGAAATGCAAATAAATCCAGCAAAAAAAAAGGCTTCATTGTAGGATGAAAGGTCGTCAGTGTGAGCAAACACAGCATAGGATGACATGTGGGAGCAGGCACACTCCACATACTCTGTTGTGTCTGACACCAATCTGCACAGAGGACCGTTTGACAGCCATCTACAAAAACAAAATACGTAGAATTACTCTCACATTTCAACAAAATACCTGCTGTTACTAAGGAAAACATTTGCACAAATTCTAGTAAGTAATTAACAGCTGTAAACAAGAGTGAGAAATATGTGCACTGCCCTGTACAGTTCCTTGAAATTTCATTCCGGGTACAATGAACAGCTAGCTCACTGACTGAAATATACCTTAGGCTCTTTGGACTTGGTGAACTTGACAACATTTCTAGCAGTATATAAATGGTGACTGATTGACGACAGTGACATTAAAGAATGAAGACCCTGCTGACAGGCCTTATGCTCGTTGAGCGGGTCACTGAGTTTGCATAGCTGGAGGGTAAAAACTATTTTGGTTCATGTTAGCTGGTAAGGCATAGCTATGTCTCAGCAAACTGATGTTCGGGTCAGAATTTGATGTAAACAACATGAAAGCATGGATCTATCCTGCCATGTATTAACAGATCAGGCTGGTGGAGCTTCGCATCATGGATGTGCAGCCGACAAATCGGCAGCAACTGTGTGATGCTATCATGTCAGTATGGACCAAACTCTCTAAGGAATGTTTCCATCACCTTGTTGAATCTATGCCACGAAGAATTAAAGCAGTTCTGAAGACAAAAGGGCTCCAACCCAGTACTAGCAAGGTGTACCTAATAAAGTGGCCCGTGAGTGTATAGCTCTGTTATGTGATATTTTATTAACACAAATTTGTTAACCGAATATAAAATTAAAGGGCTTGTACATACACGCCTAGGGATTTATAAACAATTTGAAGAGCTGCTTGCACTGCAAATATTTGTGAACATTCGCTCTATGCTAATATTTGCCAGAATGAACGTTATTTAGATTTTTTTCTTTACAACATTTTCATGTAAAATCACCATATGGCCACTAGATGGAGCTAAAGGAGTGTAGGAAATAAGTGTTTATTCTTTATGCTCCTCAGCACCATCTAGTGCCCGTAATGTGTTTTTTTTACACTTTGAAAATACATGGCCTTGTAAAGAAAACAACTAAAGAACGTTCATTTTGGCATATATCTGCACAGAATGAATGTTCACAGATAGCAAATAGCCCTATGGATAGTTTATAAATAGACCCCCTAGTGTGTTGTTAAACTCTTTTATGAGTAATATATGTCCAGCTGAAAAATGACCCTTAAAATAAGGTAGGCATCGATATGGCATGGTGTGTATATTTAACTTTATTCTTGTAACTCCCTGAGAAAATAAAACACAAGCAATGAAGGATGTAACCTGTAATACACTTTCAACAGGAAGTGGAACAAAGTACCCAATTATTTACATCAGGTACCTTTCTGATGCCATATTCCACAGAAGACACAGTGACATGCGTGGTACAATGCGACCTCCGGCTGCCTTAATCCTATACACAACCTCGTTGTCTTCAGCCAGCTGATAAGAGAAGTTACCTTTCACACTCACTGATAAAATCTGTAATCACATGAATAACAGACAATAACAAAGCCGCTCAAAAATGAACACTTAATTAAAATGTACATAGCACTACCATATATTTGATTCCTCTTCCAACAACAATTTTATCATTTTTTTCAGGTTTTTTTGTAAACAACAATATCCAGGTAAAGGGACCAAAAATGACTCACCCAAGATATAACTGTAAATACTTACCTTCCTTACTGCCCATACCACCAAACACTGCTTCAATGGTGTAAATTCTCCCCCAGAAGTCCACTGGAAAATGGACATCTCTGGGAGTATTGTCCCCCTGGGCCTCCAAAGCTCTGACTGGTTTCTCCTACTGACTTCCAGTTTACTGCAAGGAAAGAGTAGCAATGTGTTGGTCAGTAAGAGGGACCAATTAGAGCTGCGGGGATACCTAGAGAATAGACATTCCCGGAAGTGTCGGCATACGCCCAGACACTGGGGGAAGATTTAACAGCATTGTATTGGTGTACATCAGCGTGGACAGGGTGAGTATTTACAGTCTTCTTTTACAGGTATGTAACTTATTTTCCAAATGATCGGTGCTCAGTAGAGGTTTTATAGTTCACAGGGGAAAACCAGAGCGGACTTCAATCTGATTACACACAAGGAGTTGCTGATTGATCACAGGATGGGAAGCCTCAGAAGACATTATTATTATAATTATACAGGATTTATATAGCGCCAACGGTTTGCGCAGCGCTTTACAATATAAGGAAGACATTACAATCACAATACAATTCAAGACAAGAATGTAAGGAGGGCCCTGCCCATGAGGGCTTGCAGTCTAATAGGGAGGGGCAAGTGATACATGAGGAGGTAGCTGTGTGGGGATGAATTGTTTGAGAACGTGATGGTTGAGTGGTTAGGTTTAGGTGGGATAGGCTTCCCTGAAGAGATGAGTCTTAAAGGATCGCTTAAAGGCAGTCAAAGTGGGAGATAGTCGGACAGGTTGGGGTAAAGAGTTCCATAGGATGGGAGAGACTCTAAGCATATGTGTCAAACTCAAGGCCCGCGGGCCAGAACCGGCCCGCGACGGAATTATCTCTGGCCCGCCTGATGATAATTAATTATCATCAGATCTGGCCCTGCCCGCCCACAGCTCTCTCACACTGCCCGCGGCAATCTTCGTGGGATTGAGGACTCGGAGAGCTGCCGCCGGCCAGAGGACTGCATTACCCAGCAGGCAGCAGCACAGCATGACAAGGGAGGTGTGGCTGTGAGGTGAGGTGACTGAGGGGGGTCTCGAGGTCCAGTCCAGATGACGTGAGGTGCTCCTTGGCAGGAATCGGGATCCAATCCCCAGACGTCAGAGAGCCAGGAGAGCTGCAGCCTGCAGGTACTGTGCTGTGACACTGAGAGTCAGTATATCTATCCCCTTCTTCAGGGGCGGACTGGGTCGGGTGGAAGGGTGGGAATTGCCCCCCGGGCCTCTCTGATGCCACCGCGAACG